GCAAAGTTGCGGGAGGGCAACAAGTGGAGCATATAGGCCTCTGAAAAGTCAGGGAAGGAAATAACTGCCCCCTAACAACCCATGCCCCTGATATAAGGGTTCTTCTGCATTTTTGCTCTGAAACGTTGCAAACCCACCGCTTTGCTTTGGCAGCAGAGGGCAGCACAGGGTCCTTATTGCGCCCGCACTCCCTGGCCTCTCCCTCACCCTCCTCCAATGACTGTAATTACTGCAGGCAGTAAGTGGTGCTGTCTGTCTGGGGCTCCTGAGACTTTTGATTTGTCTTGGCTCTCAGCTCTGACATGCCTGGGAAGGGCAAGGAAAGGAAATGGGTGGGAGCTCCCCTCTAACCACAAGCTTGTCCTACCCCCACCCCAACCAGGTCTGAGAGTGAGGGCTCGCTACATCATTTAGAAATAAAAAGTCCAGATGTTTTGTTTGGGTTTTTTTTTTCCCAGATGAAACAAGCCACTAGCTTCTCCCTTTAATAGAGGTAATTTCCATTTGCTCATAGCAAGGCAAGGATTATTAATAGGGGAGATGGGGAGTGTGTGTGTGTGTTTTCATGGTGCATGGAGAGAGCAACCATATAAAACCTGTGTTAGGTCAATAAACACGCAGACACGCTGAAGACCTGTGTGTAGTTCTTTGGACCCCAGAGGATTTCCCAGCAGGGTGGTCCTTCTTTGTTACAAATGCCCCTCCCTTTCCATCTTTCCTTCCCCCATCCCCACGTCTGTTTTGTGGGCCTGATCCTGCCAAGTGCTGAGGTTAATGGGAGTTGAAGGCATTTGATGCCTGGAAGCAGGATCACAGCTCCTTGCAGGACTGGGTCCTGAGTCCCTTGCGCTGGATGCAAACATTGCAAGCAGTGTGGCTGCGGGAGACGGAAAATGTCAAAGTCTAACATCACGTCTGTCCTGTTCAAATGATCCAGGCTCACCCCGAGACTGCCTGCATCTGCTGCTATTAACACCTTTTCCACACTGCCCCTAGCCTGTCCCATCCCTGTGCCCATGAGACCGAAGAGCCCCACCCCTGCTGCCACCCATGTGAAGAGCTGCGCTTATTAGCACTTACAGCGGAAGGTTGGTCTCGTAGTTAAAGAGCCAGCCTAGCACTCAGGAGATCTATGTTCTAATTCTCACCGCTGCTGCTACTGCTGATAATAATGCTTCTTTTGTCTGTCTTGTCGGGTTCAATTCTAAGCTCTCTGGGCAGGGACGGTTGTTGATCTGAGGGGTAAGGCACATGTACATGATATTGCAATCAAGCCCTATTTGTGCAATGGGGCGCGATTGTGGCTGGGGCTCCCAGATGTGACTGCAAGAGCAACAATGAAAATCAGTGGCTGATTGTTCCAGCGTCTCAGTAAAAGAGTGGAAAGAAATCTAGAAATCGGCAAAGCTCCTCCTTGAAATCCCCAAGCGCCTTTCAAAGGCGCAAGTCTGGGGCTAAATGGGTTGAACTCTCTTTCGGTGCAGTTCTCTGCAGATGGAAAGTTCTGGCTGAGTGACCCAATCTAGCTAAGGGTGTTGAGTGTGCTCAGGATGGAGTGATGCTATTTCCGCATGGCACGGGGCCACCACATGATTGCAGGTAAAGACATAGGAACCTGCCTGGGCCTGCCTGAAACAAGGCTTGGGGGGGAACCCTCTGACAGGCTCATTGTGCTTTTAAACCTCTGCAGAACCATGTTTCGCATCTTGGCTGCAAAGCAGCATTTGACACCCAGTGTTAGCATCTGACCCGATGTCCTATGAGCTGCAATGGAGGCTCAGCAGGCAGGCCAGTGTGGGATGTTACATGGGTCTGTTTTTCACTCTACCCCACTATCCTCAGCAAGCGAAGAGGTAAGGGGAGGTCTCGTCTGCCTGCAAGAGGAAGGGAGAAACCAAGATGTAGAATAATTTCCCCTGGTTTGGAAGGAAACCTGGAAAACAAACTGCCTCGAAGCACAGATTGTGGCTTTGGGAGAAGAATGTCGGCGGTCACTTTCTCATCCTGTTTCTGTCATTCCAGGGCAATGAGCTGATGGGGAATCCCAACAAGCCACAAAACAACAACAAGGAGGCTGCCCCGTGGCTGCAATTTGCATTCGTGAGCTTTCTTTACCTATACCAGGACTCGACAGAAGGAGGCCTGCAGAACATCCCAGCCAGGAAAGCAGAGTCCTTGAAAGGTTTCATCCGGCCCATGAGGATGGGCCTTATTAAATGAGTGTTACTTAGTGTTCCAACCTCTCTAGAAGAAATACAAATTGCTTAGTCGACGAGATGGAGCTGGTGATTTGGGGACTGGGAACATGGGTGTGGCTTGGTATCCACCTGGGAAGAAAATGTGTTGCTTTTTATTATTATTATGACAGTGAAACTAACAAGGCATAAGGCGGCTGCTCTGACAAACTGTTCTGTGCACAAGTTTACTCCTGTTTGTACACCCACAGAAGTCAGTAAGGCTGGGTGCAGTGTCAGGATAGACGGTCTCAGACTCCAAACGGCCACTTCAGTACACCCCACAGAGCATTTTTTCTAGCACAGGCAAAACAAACAAACAAACAAAAAAAAAACACCTCTGGATCATTTAGCCAGATCCTGGGCAATTCTGGGCTAGATCCTCAGCTGGTGTCACACAGCACTGCTCCATCAAAGCCAGTGGGTCAGATCCTTAACTATGCAAATCAATCATAGCTCCACAGAAGTCATGGGGTCTGCTCTGCAGATGGTGTAAATCAGCACAGCTCTGCTGAAGCCAATTGGCTCAGATTCCCAGTTGGCGTAAATCTGCACAGCTCCATTGAAGTCACGGCCTCTGGATGAAGTCAATAGGGCAATGCTGATTTATGCCCGCTGAGATTCTGGCCCAATCCCTTCCCTGTTTCATTTTGGAATTGCTTTATGGTTTAGAGAGCAGTAATAATCACCTCATTATTATTAATATCCATGGCAACAGAATGGAAATTAATCACACTACTTCTATTTATCCCCATAGAAACAGAGCCAAAACAAACAGGGCTTTATCCACAAGGCCTGATTCCTAGAAATCCTACATATTACATAATTACTGACAAAATGACCCAGCAATTAACGAGCTGCCCAAATTATCCAGTAGCGTCTCTTTAAAGGTTAATAATATTCAGTTAGATTAGCTTTCAAAAGGGGTGCTGCACAATAAGGGTGGACTAAGAACATTTACAGTAGCTGGGCAGAGCTTTGCAGCTGACCTCACTGTAAATGTTTGCTTCAGTGGCTCATTGCAGGGCATGCTAGTTGGCACTTGTGTGTCTTTCGCTGATTGTGTTTTGTAAGCTAGTCGGGTGTCGTCGGGAGATTTCAGAGGAACAGCAAGGGTCTGTAGGCCTCCTGTGAGAAGTGAAGTACACGAGCTGCTTCCCACTCAAGTAGTAATCGAGGAATGCTCGAGTGCGGGGCTGGCTGTGAAATGGCTGGGGCGAGACCTAAACTCACTTGTCTGCACATCTCCCTGTATGTAACCCTGCATTTAGGACTTTAGTGGTATCCTCTGCTTGCTCCTAATGCAGAAGAGTGGATCTAATGTCATGATCTCTCCTATGTGAAGGCATATCCAAGGTAACTGTGTTTCGGCAACCTATGCTTCCCCTGGAGATTCAGTTGAGATTAGTCTCTTCTAATCCTAGGTTGTTGTGTACCGTTTGTGGTAAACGAGCTGACTCCTGTACTGTTTGGGTTTGCCCATCTGCGTTTGCCTGCAGGCAGCCAGTCCCTATAAATTTGACAAACAAATAGAACAAAAAAAATTTCCCTGATCCGATCCTTCAAAACCAAAGGCTCCACAGACCGCTATCAGGGAGCTGCAAACGCAACTTCAGTACAGCTGGGAAATAGGTTTGTAGAGCTCACCGAAGCCCTGGAAATTCTGACATTTAAAATTCAAATCCCCACTGCAATTTTAGAAGAGAACATTAAGACCTCAGTCCTGCCAACACATGTGGAGACACAGTCCCTTCCCCAATGAACTTAGCCCGTGAGCCTCTGATCCTGCAATCAGAGCTGCATGGATGGACACCTGCATTAACATGAGTTGCATGAGTGCCAGGATCCATCTGCATGAATGGGATTGTTAGGTTAGGCCCCGCGAAGACAGGTGGGGACAGGGATAAAACAAAAAGGCAAAATATAGACATTGTATACATGTATGTATTTAAAAAAATACGAGATCTGAATCCTTAAGCTTTGAGCAGGGGGTTGGACTAGATGACCTCCTGAGGTCCCTTCCAGCCCTGATATTCTATGATTCTAAGATTAATGGTCCTTAGATCACAGTGGGGCAGCCTGTGTGCAAAGAAAAGCACTACTCACCAGGAGTATGTCTAAACTAAAGTTGTTTCTGAGATGTACAATAAGCCACATATGTTTGTGCCCTGACACAAACATTTGTAGAGTGTCTAGACTCTTAGTTCAAATGGTGCAACTGGCAATAAATCAACTATCTCAAGTTGAAAGAGGGTCACAAACTGTTTCAACAAGTGGAAAGGGCATTTTCCTGTATTTTGGAGAGGAATTGGAGCCTAATATTCAGCCACATTCCCATGCCAGGTAGTGGGGATAAAAAAAAAATCATATTCCATGACTATACCACCAGTAGAAAGGAATATTTTAAGTCTGTGGCCCATCCCCACAAACTCTGACCCTTTTACAAATTCTTTAAGACTTTTATTAAGAGATGCTTGCAGTTTGCTATCTTTCCAGTGTGTGTTTGCAGGGTGGGGTGAGGGGAAGAAATCAGGTATAGCATTTCATATTAAAAAGAAAGGTTGTTAAAAACCTGAGCTTGATTGGATAAGCAGAAAACAACTTGTCAAATCTTTTAGCTTTGTTGGTCCTGAAAGGAGACTGATGGAGTTTAGGTAAGAAAGATGGAAAAACTCATGATGATAAATTGTGAGTTATCCAAACAACAGCAAGGAAAACAGCAAGTGCGGAAGGTCTGTGTTCTTATTCCTGGATTTCCATGTTCCCTTATTCCTTCTTGTTTGATAGCTGAGTAGTGCCAGGTTGTTGGCTGATGGTCTCAGGAGCCAGGGTGTCTCCAGCTGGTGGTCCAGAGGTCTCCTTGGTCTCTTTGCCATCTAGTGGTTTCACATTCCGTGGGCGTCTGCGTAGGTAACTGAAGTTAGGATGGTAACAATGTTGACTTACTGCTTCGACTTCGGTCTCATTTGCCTGGGGGCTTCTGTTACATTTTTCTCCTCCCTCCTCTCTCGGCTGTCTCAGACAACGCTGCCCCAAGCTGAGAAGCTGCCTGAAGCCCTGGTATATGCTCTGTTTCACTGGTTTGCTTTGCTCTGCATGGACACACTGACCTTCCGCATGCACCACTTCTGCGCTCACAGAATTGGAACACGGGCTGATACCCATAGGATGTGTGCATCAAACAAGACTGGCCACTGTAGGGCAGATTCCCATTTTCTGGTGCACTCCTTGCTGCCTCGTTCTTTGGCATGCTTTCACAAAGGTGGTAACTCTTGTGAGGCGGACTCCTCCTTAGACCCAACGAGCACTTGCGACGGTCTGCAGCGTATATGCTGCCTTGCACGGGAATGCCGCCGAGACCTGTGACATTGGCAGCCTCCAGGCCTTTATCCCCTAGAACCACATCAAACTCCGCCCTCTCCCCATCGCCCACACTGCGATGGTACTTACAGGGATTGTTCTTCTTTATGGCCGACTGATGTACAAACACGTCCCTCTTATTGTCGCTCCTTGTGATGAAGCCATAGCCATTTCGGACATTGAACCACTTGACCGTGCCCCAGACCTTCCTTTCGATCACCATCTTCTCCTCTGCAGGGATCAGTGAAACTAGGAGGGGTTTACTCTTGATGGATGCAACCTGCAGATCCTCCTGCATTGCAGGTTTGTTGTTCAGGACCATTGCACAGTTTGGTTTTACTGTTTCAGGCTCTCAGTGGTGCACAGTGATGCCCCGGGCCTTAGAAGACAAATAAAGTCAGGAGTGGAGCTACTGCTACCTTCAAGCTTGTGCCGTCAGCTCTGGGCTGGGTTTAGCCTCTCGCAGCTATCACAGTGAGAGGCCAACACTTCAGGCAACATTTTTAATCAATCGGATTGCAGCTTTCAGGTTTCCCAGCTGAACCAGCGGTTGATTGGCTCAGCCACATGTGATGTCACAGAACTAAGACGCAGTTGAATTGTTACCTAATTCACATGATGAAATGAGAGGAGAATCTTGTATGTCCTACATCAATCCCAATATCCTGTGGCCAAACTAGAGCAAATCTTTTAGAAAGACAGCAGAGAGGAAGGAAGGTACAATGGTTAGGGTGCTCACCTGGGATCTGGAACACCTCGGTTCAATTCCCTGCTTTGTCACTAGCTTCTTGGGTGCCTTGAGCAAGTCACTTTGTCTCTCTGTGCCTCAGTTTCCCATTGGTAAAGTGAGGATAACAGCACTGAAAGTCTGCAAGGTGCCCCATTACTATGGGGCTAAGTCTCGTAGATAGGCAGTATCTTGCCTGGTGCAAGGCAGGAACTGAGGCCCAGAATCTGCTCTTAGTTACCTTGATGTGAAACAGGAGTAGCTCTGTCAGCTTCACTGGAATCACTCCAGATCCTTTCTGATATGAGATCACAAGCAGTCTCGCTGTTGCACAGGTAGAAGCAGCCATGGGTGAAGCTCAAAAGATTTGGAAGTTTGCTAGATAATCAGAGGCAGCCCATGCTGAAAGAGCTTGCAAGTAATGCAAGACAGTCAAAAGAGGGTCTATCACTCCCATTTTACAGATGGGAAACTGAGGCCCAGAGGGATTAAGTGACTCACCCCAGGTCACACAGGGAGGCTATGACAGAGCAAAAAAATGAACCCAGCTCTCCTGTGCCCTCATCCTGTGCCTGAGCCACAAGACCATCCTTCCTGTCATCTCCAGGATGCCAGTTTCATGCTGGAGTAAATCCAGTGCCCTCATTGGCATGGCCCTAGATTTACACTGGAATAACTGAGGTTGGAACCTGGCACTGACACTAGTTGGTCTAATTTTTCCTTGGATTCGGTCAATCAGTGTTTCCCCTGGTTTGACTCGGCAGTGAAGTGATGTGTCTGTTTTAGGGAGTTGCCTGTTTCCTCCTTTGCCATTGTGTGTGTGTATATATGTGGGGTTTTTTTGTTTTGTTTTTTACACTTTCTTACAGTTTCTCAACGTCTATTAATCACTCTGCCAGTGGGGTGGGTTTGGTTTTCTCACGGTGATTGCTTAAGGAGATTCTCAGCAAATGAAGCTCTGTTCTTTCCTTCGCTCCCCCTGTCTGCTAACCCTCAGTTCCCCTGTGATAACAATGGGCTAGAAGCTGCCACCCTGACTTCACAGAGTAGTACCTCACTCCCTGAATAGTCCTGCAGTAGTCGACCGAGTTGCTCACTGAATAATTTACTACTGAATAAAAGGGTGGCAATATCTAGCTCATTATGGGTTAATACAGCAGTTTCTTTGTATTACAGAATTTGCATACACAAACCCTATAGTTCAATGTCACCAGGCTCGATTTTGCTCTTCCTCAGACTTGTTTCAATCCAGAGTAACTCAATCTCATTGCAATGTCTCCTTTTCATGGAGTCACAGGGTCTGGTCCGTGCTGCAGCCTGTAACCAGTCTCTTGGAGTCACCCCTCTAGAGTGCTGGGTACATCTACACTGCAATTAGACACCCGTAGCTGGGCTGGGCCAGCTGACTCGGGCTTTTGGGGCTTGGGCTAAGGGGCTGTTTAATTGTGGTGTAGACATTTAAGCTTGGGCTGGAGCCTGGGCTCTAGGATCCTGTGAGGTGGGAGAGTCCTAGAGCTCAGGCTGCAGCCTGAGTCCAGATATCTACACTGCAATTAAATAAACCCTTAGTCTGAGTCAGCTGGCATGGGCCAGGCACAGGTGTCTAACTGCAGTGTAGATGTACCTCGGGGGCAGGCCTGCAGTGACCATGACTCCGAAACTGGGCTTTCGGGCACCATCCCTTCCCGTCTGCCTCTGTGGCTCCCTGCAGCTAATCCATTCAAGCTAGACTCCTGTGTGGGGCTGTGATGGGGTGTTCACCACAGGCAAGGCAAAGCAGGTTACATTAGGTGAGTAAACCCGATAGGCTGAACCTGGGGGAGTGCCAGGGCTTGACGTGGCTAATTGATGAAAGGCTAATTGATGATGAAGCCCAGCTGGGCTTGTATAACACCAGCAGAATCAGAAAAGAAGGGGGCTGCAGGGGAAACTGTCTGCAGTCACTCTCTGAGAGAAGGGAGGTATGTTTGGGGCTACAGAGCTAAGCAGTCTGGGAGGCAGGAGTTTCAGCTGATAAACCAAGATGGGGGGACGCCCCAAGATAGAACAGAGAGCCAGGAAAAACACCAGGGAAATAGCAACAGGGTCTGGGAGCAAGCAGACCATAGTCGCCAGACTCAGGTCCCCTGGACTGGAACACAGAGTAGTGGGCGGGCCTGGGTTTCCCTATGAGCAGCTGGAAACGTGACACAGAACCTAGCCGTGGATTGGAAGGCTGTCAGGAGCCGATAAGGAGAGCTGATCCCGTGGGACTCTGACACACTGGAAAGGAAGGACTGTACAGTGACCTACCCAGAGGGCTGAGTCACGAAGGGGGAACAGCCTGAGTCCAGAGAGCAAGAGCAAAACCATGGGGCATGTGACCGACAGAACCCCAGGGGCGCCAGACTGGATGGGAGCTAAGCTCCTGATGTACCAGGAGGCTCCATAGCATGGGGTGGACCTTGTTATAAAGGCACAATGCTTTGGGGCCCGCTGCTCTTAGGGGGTATTTGCAGTCACACCAGGTAGCCTTTTCTTTTCAAAATAAGGTAACACTATTAGCCACCCACTACAGAATTTGAAAGTCCTTTGGTTAGCTTAGAGAAGCAAAGGTTAAGAAAGAGCTCAGTCTGGCTGACATCAGGCCTGTCCCCAGCCCAGCTAATAAGGAATCCATTTTGGCCCTGACTCTCCCTCTGTCTTTTTTCCCAGCTGTGTGTCCAGTATCTCTCTGTGTGCTCAGCTCTTAACGCAGCCACCTGGCACCTTGGTTCTCCAGTGCGGGGCCTTTCCTGCAGAGAGGTGGGGGAAGAGGGGCAAATCTCTTTTCTCTTGCCTGTTAGTAGGTAGGTGTGAATGTCCTGGCCATGGGGGATTCTGTTGCCTTTCCGGATCCTCTACTGCGATGGGTTGGGTTTCAGTCAGTCATTTAACGGCCGTTTCATACCAGTCCAGTTACGTGTCACACATCCACGTCTCCTATTCTGGCCCGACAGCAGCTTTTTAATCCATTACGCTCTGCACCTAGCAATGCAACGCCCAAAGGGAATGTGAGATGCACGTAGGAATGCCCGTCACACTCCTATTCTACAACAATGTAACTGAGATCAGAATCGGCCCCCCAGACTTTGGTTATTCCCAGCAGGGACCATTATATTCAGTAGTAAGTGTGTAAGCAGTGTCAGGATGAGCTCCACCCTGACATCTGGTGGTGAGGTGTGGCAAGTTGTGGAAAAGAACTTCAGGGGCCGATCTCATTTGCATAGGCACACCCACCACGCCTAGAATGAGACCATAGCTGCCCAAATGGTCACTTTGGCTGCTGTGGGATCCCCAGTGTCTCTGTTATTGGGGCAGGAAGAATAAATTGTTATTACCCTGATTATGGGAACTGTGCTTGGAACTGTACGTGGCCTTTTGTTATGATGGAGGGATTCACCATCAACTAAGTAGCACTTGCTAGGCAAGGGTCATGGGTTCCAAAACTGTGTGAAGGGAGAGAGGCTGGGGACAAGTATTAATACTTGGTGGCATGGGCCCTTTAGTGAGGGCCTTACATGCTAATTGCACTTCCTCCTCTCTCCACTGTGGAATATCAGAGCTAATTTTGATTTCATTAGAAGTCTAGTTATAGGCTGCTGAGCTCACTTTGGGCTGACAGTGCACCAGCACTGGGGCTCCCCTACTACAAGCTGAATTTACCTAAGAGCTGAAATCACTGAGTGTTGTGTTAAGTAGTGGGGGAGCCTGAAGATATATTGTGGAGCAGTTTGCGGGACGGCTGGAGTGCCTTGCGGACGGGCTAGTGAAGCAGTTTGACACGGAGCAGTTTGTGGATAGCAGGAGCTGCTTGTGGGCCATGGAGCTGAGCGAAGGAGTTCGTGGGGCGGCTGGCGGAGCGGAGCTGAGCGAAGGAGTTCGTGGGGCGGCTGGCGGAGCGGAGCTGAGCGAAGGAGTTTGTGGGGTGGCTGGCGGAGCGGAGCGCCGCTATGGAGCTATGGGGCGGTCAGCTTCAGATCATGTAAGGTGCCTCTTACCCCCATCCCATTTCCACCCAGGTTGGGAGGTAAAGCTCCGCAGATAAACTTTCGAACTCTGGGGCTGCCCTGACCAGGGACAGAGACTTTTTGGGGCATTGGACTTTTGGGACTTTGGGTGATTTGGGGTTGCTGGACTCAAGAACCAAAGGGAAAAGGGCATGCCCCAATTTGCTTGGGGTGGGTTTTTTTTACTCATGGGTTGTGTTATGAATCCTGTTGGTGGTGTTTCCCCAACATAATGCCACATTGTTTCTCTCTGTTATTAAAAGGCTTTTGCTACACTCAGACTATGTGCTTGCGAGAGGGGAAGTATTGCCTCTTGGAGGCGCCCAGCGGGGGTGGTATATATTTGTCCCAGGTCACTGGGTGGGGGCTCGAGCCGGTTTGCATTGTGTTATTGGAATGGATCCCCTAGATATTGAACCCGGCCCTTGTTGCTGCCAACTCTGACGGGCAGAAGGGTTACAAGTGTTTGCAGGATTAAGCTCAGATTCTTCAGGGAAGGGACTGTGGATTTTATTCAGCCGTTAAGTGTCCTGCACATTTGTGGCCATATATATATGGTTAGCAAAACATTTGGAGAAGGGTGATCCAGTGGATATAGAGTACTCAGACTTTCAGAAAGCCTTTGACAAGGTTCCTCATTGCTCTTAAGCAATGTAAACAGTCATAGGATAAGAGGGGAGGTCTTCCCATAGATCAGTAACTGGTTAAAAGATAGGAAACAAAGGGTAGGAATAAACGGTCAGTTTTCATAATAGAGAAAGGTAAATAGCGGGTTCCACAAGGATCTGTACTGGGACCTGTGCTGTTCAACATTTTCAGAAATGATTTGGAAGAAGAGGTTAACAGTGAAGTGGCAAAATTTGCGAATTATATAAAATACTCAAGACCGTTAAGTCCCAAGCAGACTGCGAGGAGTTACAAAGGGGTTTCACAAAACTGGGCAAGAAAATGGCAGATAATGTTCAATATTGATAGATGCAAAGTAATGCACACTGGAAAATATAATCTCAACTACGCATACAAAGTGATGGGGTCTAAATGAGCTGTTACCACTCAAGAAAAAAGAAAAGGAGTACTTGTGGCACCTTAGAGACTAACCAATTTATTTGAGCATGAGCTTTCGTGAGCTACAGCTCACTTCATCGGATGCATACTGTGGAAACTGCAGAAGACATATACACAGAGACCATGAAACAATACCTCCTCCCACCCCACTCTCCTGCTGGTAATAGCTTATCTAAAGTGATCACTCTCCTTACAATGTGTATGATAATCAAGTTGGGCCATTTCCAGCACAAATCCAGGTTTTCTCACCCTCCGCCCCCCCACACACAAACTCACTCTCTTGCTGGTAATAGCCCATCCAAAGTGACCACTCTCTTTACAAGAAAGATCTTGGAATCATTGTGGACAGTTCTCTGAAAACAGTGACTCAATGTGCAGCGGACTTCAAAAAAGCGAACAATGTTAGGAACTATTAGGAAAGGGATAGATAGTAAGATAGAAAATACCACAATGCCACTCTATAAAATCATGGTATTGAACACTGTGTGCAGTTCTGGCTGCCTCATCTCCAAAAAGATATTGAAATTGGAAAAAGTACAGAGAAGGGCAACAAAAATGATTTGGGGTCTGGAACAGCTTCCGTGTGAGAAGAGATTAAGGAGACTGGGCCTATTCATTTTAGAAACCAGACAACTAAGTGGGGGGGGGGGGGATTTGTTAGAAGTCTATAAAACCGTGAATGGTGTGGAGGAAAAAAGTGCTGTTTACCCCTTCTCGTAACCCAAGAGCCAGGGGTCACCCAATGAAATTAGCTGGCAGCAGGTTTAAAACCAACAAAAGGCTGTACTTCTTCACACAATGCAGTCACCCTGTGGAACTCGTTGCTAGGGGATGTTGTGAAGGCCGCAAATATAACTGGGTTCAAAAAAGAACGAGATAAGTTGATGGAGGATAGACTCATCAATGGCTATTAGCCAGGATGGGCAGGGATGCAACCAGTGCTCTGGGTATCCCTAAGACTCTGACTGCCATAAGCTGGGAATGGGAGACAGGGAATGGATCACTTGGCGATTACCTGTTCTGTTCATTCCCTCTGAAGCACCTGGCATTGGTGTTGGAAAACAGGATACTGGGCTAGCTGGACCATTGGTGCCACCCGGATCAATCTCCTCAAGGTCCGTAAGGCAGTCTGGCTGGATATTCAGTGTGTGTTGGTGGTCTTATTGCGCCGCTGAAACTTTTGGTGACCTTGTGGTCACCAGCTGCGTAGTGCGTACCTTGGCCAGCACACTTTGCAGTTTGTTGCTCTTCCATCCGAATACTATGTCCGTGCAAGAAAGCTGCCGCAACCCAGCCAGTGCTGACGGAGGTGGTGGCCGGGTTCGGCTGCGAATGTCCCCTACTGTTAGCTCTCATCTACCTGTCTGCCTAGCTTGTCTTGCTGCCAGCCATCTTAATGTCTGAGAGAGGCTGTGCACACCTCCTCTCCTACCCATCACTTTCCACCTTGCGCTCAGACCTGCAGCACCTTGGCATCAGCACTGAGCAGGAGCAGGCCCCTAGAAAGCAAGAGAATAACAACTTGGATTCCCATTCAGGCCAGCTGTGTGCAGCATT